TCATGAGTTCCGCGAGACCATGAACGGATTCAATTACACCCTGCACAAGGAGCTTCGGTAAGTATAGCCGCCAATCTTGAAAAGACTCGATTTATAAGAAAATCAACCCGAATAGCGCTTCGGATCCCAGCTTTACTGGCATTACGTTCATCTCGCCGGCGCATGTTAAGCTGCCAAAGTCAGTGGATTGGCGCGAGAAGGGAGCCGTTACCGCAGTTAAGGATCAGGGACACTGCGGCAGCTGTTGGGCATTCTCCAGTACTGGCGCCCTTGAGGGACAGCATTTCCGTAAGACGGGCACTTTGGTCTCGCTCTCCGAGCAGAATCTGGTTGATTGCTCCGCCAAATATGGCAACAATGGCTGCAACGGAGGCTTGATGGACAATGCCTTCCGTTACATCAAGGATAATGGTGGCATTGATACCGAGAAATCGTATCCATATGAGGGCATTGATGACTCCTGCCATTTCAACAAGGACAGCGTTGGTGCCACGGATCGCGGTTTTGCGGACATTCCACAGGGCAATGAGAAAAAAATGGCGGAGGCTGTGGCCACTATTGGACCTGTCTCAGTGGCCATCGATGCATCGCACGAGTCGTTCCAGTTCTACTCTGAGGGCATCTACAATGAACCCGAATGTAATTCTCAGAATCTCGACCACGGTGTCCTCGTTGTTGGCTACGGCACCGATGAGAGCGGCAAGGACTACTGGCTGGTCAAGAACTCGTGGGGCACCACTTGGGGAGATAAGGGCTTCATTAAGATGGCTCGCAATGAGGACAACCAGTGCGGCATTGCTTCTGCCTCTAGCTATCCTCTGGTCTAGGCGAATTTATATTTGCGATAAATGAGTTTGCATCGACGCTCAACCTCATTAATATTTAATCACAACCAAAATACCTTTTATATTCCAATGCGATCATCTCAGAAGTAAACGTTTATAATTTAATGGGCATAATTAATTATCTGTAAAACTCATCATCAATTTTTATATGATTTGCCATTTAAATCTTGATACAAATTAGGCATATTACAATGTTGAAGTTTTGTATGAAATAAAAACCTATATTATAAAATATTAATGTTTCTTAATTTGACGGAGGCAAAGCGTTTTTATTTAATTCTTTGTATTTTAACAGATAAAACAGTTCTTTGATATTTTGTTGGAAAAGCTTAACTTGTATAAGTTTTTTATTGATAATATTAGTTTATTAATACATATTTAACAGTTTGAGTTTTAGTTGATTTTATTTACATTGAGTCGTTGAACATTAAAAAAATAACAGCTGATAGCAATTTGTCTCTAGCCCTGGCACACTCGATTTATATACAAAATAATCGATATATTCTGGTCGCACGCGTATCGATACAAAACAGCTGTTGTTTTATAATACATATAATGCAATATTGTGCTAGCTAATAAAAATATAAATAAAAAAGCCTGAAAGAATGTTATTAACGCTGCGTGTACCGAGATCCCGCCTATGTCTGGGCCGCCAACAGCATCGTCGCCTCTTGGCCAGCACCGCTCCCGAGGAGGCCAAAAGACAGACAACACAACACCCCTTGCAATTGGAAATCAATGGAAACACGTACCCCACAGACAGCTGGACGAATGTGACCCCGAGGATATTGTCACATCTGGGTTTGAATAAACATCTGCAGCGTGATCATCCATTGTCGATAATACGACAGCGCATTATCAATTATTTTTATGGTGCCTATCGCAATCAGCGTGGCAATCCCTTATTTTCCGTCTATGATAAACTTAGTCCAATAGTCACGGTGCAACAGAACTTCGACAATCTACTCATACCCATCGATCATGTAAGTCGCCAAAAATCGGATTGCTACTATGTGAACCGCGAGCATTTGTTGCGCGCCCATACGACGGCTCATCAAGTGGAGCTGATTTCGGGTGGACTGGATAACTTCTTGGTTGTCGGCGAGGTGTATAGACGGGATGAGATCGATAGCACACATTACCCAGTGTTCCATCAAGCGGATGCAGTACGTCTTGTCACTAAGGATAAGCTGTTCGAACGTAATCCTGGGCTGGAGCTATTCGAAGAGACGTGGAGTGGCTCGCTAGCAGATCCAAAACGCATTTTGCCCTCATCCAAGTGCATGGATCAGACAAAGCAGCCGTGTCACACTCTAGAGGCTGTCAAACTGATGGAACACGAAATGAAGCACGTCCTGGTGGGCCTTACGAAGGATCTCTTTGGTCCCCGCATCAAATATCGCTGGGTGGACACGTATTTTCCATTTACACAGCCCTCGTGGGAGTTGGAAATCTACTTCAAGGACAACTGGCTGGAGGTGCTTGGTTGCGGCATCATGCGCCACGAGATTCTGCAAAAGGCGGGCGTTCATCAGTCGATTGGCTATGCCTTTGGAGTGGGTCTGGAGCGATTGGCTATGATTCTATTCGATATTCCGGACATTCGACTGTTTTGGTCGAACGATAGCGGCTTTCTGTCTCAGTTTAGCGAACAGGATCTACAAAATCTGCCCAAATACAAACCTATCTCACATTATCCGCAATGCTCAAACGATTTATCCTTCTGGCTGCCAGCCAATGTGGAGATCGATGCTGGATTCTCAGCCAATGATTTTTATGATCTAGCGCGCACTATTGCCGGCGACGTGGTGGAACAGGTGGGCAAATATGTCCTACATATGAATAACATTATTTAAGCTTTATTCTACTCCTTTTCAGATAAGTTTGGTGGACAAATTCAAGCATCCAAAGACGGGCAAAACCAGCCTTTGCTTCCGCATTGTTTATCGGCATATGGAACGCACATTAACTCAGGCTGAAGTAAATGAGATACATAAACATATAGCCGACGCCAGTGTGGAGGCCTTTAATGTGCAAATACGCTAGTCATAGTTCAATAAAATTGTTTTTAAAGTAAAAGAAACCGATTTTTGTTTTCAAAAAGGAAAAATAAACATCTATGCAATTCCGTGTAAAGTAATCGATGCCTTTTCTGTACAATCGATAGACGATATTTAAGCACTGTACAGCACTGTTTCTGAGGCTTTACGTGCAAGCCGTAGAGTGCGGCGTTGTTAAAGTATATACGTCTCTACATTAATTTTATGAAATTCAGGTTAAAATGTCCATTTTAGAAGCAGACGATGTGCTGTACAGCATTTTGGCATTAGTCATTATTGAGAATGCTCTGGAAATCTATATAGCCTATCGCCAGGTGAGTCATATACAAAATGCCGGCACGTGCCAGCGTTCAAGGCGGCAATTAATGTTTGTCTATGTATTTTACAAGGTGTAGTATCTAAGTGAATAGTATGTGTATATTTAGCGCGTTAAATGCCAGCCGAGTTCGTTGATTTGCCAGAGACACTGTTGATACTAGATATATTGCATTTTCCGTTCTCACAGGTGAAAGTCTATCGAAATGCGTTGACTGTGCCCACTGAGCTGAAGGCCCATATGAGCTCGGAGACGTTCCATAAGGCGCGCAAATATGGCCTGGATGGTGAGAACTTTGGCATCTTTAAAGCCGTGGTGATGGACGTGCTGCTTCTTTGCCTGGAACTGTATATTGGATTGATCGCATTGCTCTGGCAGATGTCGGTGGATGTGGTGGAACGTCTGCAATGGGATTCTAGCAATGAGATTATTGTCAGCCTCGTCTTTGTGCTCATCTCGAATGTGCTGTCCACATTTAAATCGCTGCCATTTAAGATCTACAAGATCTTCGTGCTGGAGGAAAAGCATGGCTTTAATAAGCAAACGGCGGGTTTTTTTGCCTGGGATCAGGTCAAGGGCTTCCTGGTTACCCAGATTGTAATGCTGCCCATTACAGCGGCTATCATCTTTATTGTGCAGCGCGGTGGCGACAATTTCTTCATTTGGCTATGGGTATTCGCCGGCGTCATCTCCCTGGTGCTACTTACCCTCTATCCGATCTTCATTGCGCCGCTCTTCGATAAGTACACGCCCCTGGAGGATGGCCCACTGCGTCAGTCCATCGAGAATTTGGCTGCCTCGCTCAAGTTTCCATTGACCAAGCTATATGTTGTGGAGGGCTCGAAACGTTCTTCGCACAGCAATGCATACTTTTATGGCCTTTGGAACTCGAAACGGATTGTGCTCTTCGACACACTCCTATTGAACAAAGGGAAACCCGACGATTCGGAGCTGAACGACGATGAGAAGGGCAAGGGCTGCACGGATGAGGAGGTGCTGGCTGTGCTTGGCCATGAGCTGGGCCACTGGAAGCTGGGACATGTGACCAAGAATATTATCATAATGCAGGTCCATCTGTTCCTCATGTTTCTTGTCTTTGGCTACTTGTTTAAGTATGCGCCATTCTATGAGGCACTGGGCTTTCCGCCGGGCACACGACCCATACTCGTTGGTCTACTGATCATCTTCACGTACGTGATGGCACCTTACAATGCCATCATCAACTTTGCCATGACAATATTGTCGCGTCGCTTCGAATATCAGGCGGATGAGTTTGCCCACAAGCTGGGCTTCGAGCAACAATTGTGCCGTGCTCTGATCAAGCTCAATTTGGACAATTTGGGCTTCCCCATCTATGACTGGCTTTACTCCACCTGGAATCATTCGCATCCAACACTGCTGCAGCGCTTGGCACGCCTTAAGCAGTTGGGACAATCGCAGAAGAAGGTGCAGTAAACTACGAGGTGGGCATTTTGGCCGCGCATTCAAGTGCGAGACTGTAGACCAAAGCATTTAGCTTCTCTCTCACTGTCTCCCTCCCCCACTTACTCTCTCTCGCTGTATTCTGTAAACCGTATCCGTATCATAGTAGTCCCTCTCTCTCTCCTTGTTTAGTTGTATATTGTGTAGATTTCAATAAAACAAGCGATAGCCGACTTGACCAATAAATAAACAAATATAAAAACTAAATCGAAAACAAAATAATATAAAATACAACAAAATTCCAAAATGTGGATATCAAATGTATTTGGCTGAAATGTCAGATACCTTCAACGTACAATGATTGTCCAGTTCTGGAATGATCCCGCTATAATACTCCTCTGCTTAATGATCATTCTATTGGTGGATAATCTGTGGAACCTCTACCTGATTCTGCGCGAGGTAAACAACGGAATTCCCATTGCCTCCATATATTTTTAGAAATCCCTATTGTAGATTAAAATGGTTTATGGTGCGAGGCATGTGCCGGAGGTGTTGCGTCCGTATTTATCCCAGGAGCTGTTTGAGAGAATGCGCAGATATAAGCTGCACAAGAGTTGGTTCATCATAGTCAATACGCTCATTGTGGTCGTCATTTGTGGCTGCCTTGAATTGTATTTTGGTTTCTACGGACTGCTTTGGGATTTGGTTGCCAGGTGCGCCATCTGGTCGTGGATGAAGCACGAGATCTGGATGTCATTCGTCTACTTGATCTTTCTCAGCCTTTATATATTGGTTAAGTCGCTGCCGGGCAAAATCTATGAGAAATGCTGCATCAGCAAGCTGGTAAAGCAGCCCAAACGCAGTTGGTCGCAGCGCATCGTCATGGAGCTGGTGGACATCTGCTGCTCATTACTGATCATGGCCACAATGGTCGCGGTGGTCGTGTCTATGGTGAACGCCTTCAATCAGTACGCCTTCGTGGGCATCTACCTGATGGCCGTGCTGCTGACCGTGATGATCATTTTGATAATCCCCGTTGCGATTGATCCTTTCATTGGCCAGCGTGTGCAGTTGGAGAATCAGGCGCTAAAAGCGGGCCTCGAACAGCTCACCCGCCGCGTGGGCTTCTCAATGCGCTATGTCCACATTATACACGTCCGAGACCCGAGCGTGGGCAGCAATGCCTTTTTCTTTGGCAGCTGCTGCCTGAAGCGCATTGTGATCTTCGATACGCTATTGTTGAATAGGGGATTGGCCAGCGACGCTCGGCTGCCGCCGGAGGAGAGGGGCAAGGGTTTGCCGAATGAACATGTCCTGGCGGTGGTCGCTCACGAGCTGGGCCATTGGAAGCGGGGCCACTTCTATAAGGCCATTGTCATGTTCCAGTTACACCTGCTGATCACGCTCGGTCTGTTCGTCATCTGCTATACGCACGGGCCCATCTACCAGGCGGTTGGCTTCGATGTGGGCGTCCAGCCGGTTATAGTGGGCTTTATCGTCATCTTTGGCTTTCTGCTGACGCCCTATCTAACCATCTCCAATGTGCTAATGCTCATGATGACGCGACAATTCGAGTACGAGGCGGACAAGTTCGCCTTCCAGCTGGGCTATGCGGCGCACCTGCGCATGGCGCTGCTCAAGCTCTATGCGGACAATCTCACATTCCCCCTGTCGGACACCTGCTACTCCAGCTGGCATCACACGCATCCCACGATGCTGCATCGCTTGCAGCGCTTGGAGCGCCTCGAAAGTAATCGAACGTAAAATTCGAATTATTAGCAATCAGAAAAAAAAACATAGCTAGCTACGAATACATGTGTATATTCAAATCCAACTGCCACTTTCGGATGTATAATGGAATAGATATATTTATTTATATATGCCGATTGTTGATTTATTTGTTATTCTATTGTTTATATTGGTTTGGTAACATGATCATATCCTGAGCGATGGTATCCTACGACACTTGGCCGAAGATAGATCCGCGAATACTGCTCTATCTTATGATGGTGGTGCTGTTCCTCGACCACATTTGGGAAATAATATTGGCCAAGCGACAGGTAAGCGAGGGCGGAGCTCTCAACGCAGATCAATCAATCAATGAATCAATTATTCACCGGAATCATATTTTCGTCCAGTAGCAACTGACCTGCCTGAATGCCATTATGGTGCCGGAACCGTTAAGAGATATTATACCGCCGGAGATCTTTCATCGCGCCCGCGTCTATGAATTGCACAAAATGGAGCTATTCATATGGAAAAATATCATCGATTTGATCGTCAGCCTATTGGAATTATATTTTGGGTTTTATCCATTTGTCTGGGGGCTGGCCGCTAGCACGTTGGCCCCCCTAACACGTCGAGAGCTGTGGATTAGCCTGATCTTTGTATTCTATCTAACTATATATATATCGCTGCGTTGCCTGCCCATCCTGATATACGATAAGTGCATCTTGGAGCTGAGATATGGAACGCACCGACGATTTCCCTGCTATATGTACCTGTTGATGGGCCTATTGTGCATTATCCTCGCACAGATAATCCTGGCACCGCTCACCCTGTTGATTGTGTTCAGTGTTCAGATCATGGGATTCTTTTTCTTTTTGTATTTCTGGCTAATGTGGGCCGCCTTTACCCTGTTTCTCGTCTTCTTTCTGCCCTATCTGTGTGTGCCTTGCATTGGTGTCCAGCGTCGACTGCCATCCGGGAGCCCCCTCTATGCGGATGTCCAGGTCGTTTGCGATCAGACGGGATTCCCCATGAATCGGGTGTTCATCATTCAGACCAAGTCCATGCAGTACAGCAATGCCTACTTCTACGGCAGCTGCTGCCTGAAGCGCATCGTCATCTTCGATACGTTACTCCTCAATAAGGGTCAGCCGGTCACGCAGCTGCAGCCGTATGAGATTGGACGTGGCCTGACTAATCCACAGGTGGTCGCCGTAGTTGCACACGAGCTGGGCCACTGGAAGAGCGGACACTTCTACAAGGCCACACTCATCATGAAGCTGCATTTCCTTCTGACGATGGTCCTATTCGGCTTGTTCTTCCACTGCCCGTACCTGTATGAGGCGGTTGGCTTCGCCCCGGGTGTCTGGCCAATTATTGTTGGCTTTTTGATCGTGCTGCGATTTGCACTCACGCCCTATCTGACGCTTGCCAATTTCCTGATGCTGTGGAATCTACGACGCTTCGAATATGCCGCGGATCGATTCGCCCATCGACTGGGCTACTCTCTGCTGCTGCGCTCGGCGCTCATGAAAATCTATGCGGACCACATGAGCTTCCCGGTCTACGATACCTGCTATGCTCGCTGGCATCATACGCATCCAACCATATTGCAGCGATTGGCCTATCAGCAAAAACTGGATGAGGAGGCCTACTTTAGGGCGTAGTTGATCCGTCTCTGTATAAATTTGTAGTTAAAAGAATTCTACTTTTTTTTTTGTTTTTTTTTTTTGGCTCTGGTTTTAAAATTCGAGTAGTCCGTGTATTTAGTGTCCTGTTAATCTTAATGTTTTTGTGTTCTTTTTCTAGCATTTTTTACAAAAATTACTGGTATTTCAGTATTCCTATAAAATTCCAATTGGGCGACCATGTCGTTTGGGTGCATTACCAAATTGAATGTTAACATCAACAAGTGGTAAGTGAACTCGACAACTGATCTTGGTATTCGTATTGCAGTAATATCCCTTTGTAATATCCTCAGCCAAACGCACATCACGTATGCCAACAATTCAACGCGTTTTCTGATCAACAACCCGTCCGGCTTCGTTTTTCGTAGCATGGGCTCCACGGTCTGCCGCTGCTGCACGGATTGCGCCAGCCAGGGCATTGGCTTCCTTAAACGACATTTCGGACGTGGCGGAAGCATTCGGAAAACGCCTTCCCTATGCGATATGCTTTTATCTATTGGACTTAACGACTATGCGCATTACGAACCAAACGCCGTCGATCACAAACTCCAGTCCGATCAGATGGATGACGGAGACCATCAAGAGAGCGATGAGCAGCAGGTGAAAAAGCTCTTCACCTGGCATCTGGAGGATGTGCCCGTGGTGAAGCCGCAGCGTGCTACCAAAATTGTTAGGCGCAAGGGTCGATTGCAAGTGTCCTGTCTCGCTTGGCATTTGGACAGCTGCAAGTGGAGGAATTTTAGTGCCAAGGACTATGAGATGCCCAAATGGTATGGTATATATATATATACATATGTATATCGAACTATATATAAACTATACATATAAGTTTATATAGTTCGAGTATTATTTGCCCAATGTGTATACATTCCTTACAGATTATCTGAAAGGTATGAATGCAAATCTTTTCAAAGACATCTAAATTTTATTATACATTTGTCCAGTTCTGAAAAGCTTTGCTTAACTTTTTCGAGGTTTATTATTTGAACAATTATTACAACAGTATTAGCCATATAATTTATGAATGAGATCATTTTCTAATTTGGAAAATTAGGAAAAAATTGGATTCCCAAACATAAATACCCTATCATTGAGGTAATCAGTTTCATGGGTTATAGGGCATCGATTTGTCGCAATTTGTATTTAAATCTTATCGAGGGAATTTTATATTGTTCAACATTAGGGTATCAGTAGTTTCATTTTACTAGATGGGTATGTTTTCAGAAAATATTTGTATAGAGTTGATGGGATTGTTTTAAATAGTTCCTACTTCTCAATTATTTCTGTTCCATTATCAATGACAGAAGTTATGTTTTACGTTTATTCGACATTTGCACAAATAAAACTCGATTTTTAACGATCGATAACGATAATTTATTGAGTCGACTGAATGATACAAATAGGTCATGATAGTCGTTATAGCAAGAGCCCATTGAAAATGGAAATTTGACTAACTAGTTATGTCCGTCTGTTTGTTCGTTTTAGCACAATGGCCAATATTTGAATGTTTGGTAATATTTGATTGTTTAGAAGAAAGGCAGGATTTAGGGTCGAACAGTTTCGACTGGAGCACTCTATATTGTTCTAGACTAGTCTTTCACTTAATCATTAATATCCATACCTAAGATTCAGCTAGTACCATTTGTTGCCCTACTCCGATTTAGCATATATATATATATATATATATAGATTTACGTTTTAGAAACTAATACACTCTTCTTTTTTTTTTTACTAAATAGCCATTGCCTGAAGATCAAAGACACTATGGACTATATAGATGAGGTAGTTAACGGCGCAATGCCGACGCCGGAGCAGCAACAGTCGGTTATGAATTCAAATGGCAAACTGATTCCCGAAATGAATTCGAATATAATTGGTATTAATGCGTTGTTGCAAAAGTTGAATGAATTGCTTGAGGAACAGAATCGGGAGCAAGGCAATGTGTAGATGCAGAGGACTTGTAGATCCAACCACAATAGTATAAACAAATATGCTGTGTGTTTTTGAGATTGTAATCTATCAATAGTTTATTAAAACACCGTTTTTCATATCATAGAATTTTTGCTTGACATATATATGTATTGTATGTAGTATCTATATAAATAGATACATATATATATTTAGATATATGTATATATTTATAGTTAGTTGTAGTTTATAGTTATAGTTAATAATGTATTTCGGTATCGTGTTTTGAGAAAGTCCTCTCTGAAGCTGTTGTCGTATGTATATCATCTGATAATCCATCTTAAACATTAGCATAAGTAAGATATATAATATATAAGTTTATACGATATTTGTTTTTCTTTACTTGGCATTTTGTTGCATCGCACAGTTCTCTATAACATACATATATATATTTTTTTGTTATACTGTTATTGTTTTGGAGTTTTCTTTTTATAGATTTACATACGAAAATTTTCTGCGTTTTTGTTTTGTTTTAAAAGCTTAGTTAAATGTTTACTGAGAAACGTTGATTTTCTTTGGCTATTTTTTGTTAGGGGGGCAAATCAAAATTCTTAATTGAATAAATTGTTTTATACCAATAGTTGGCTTCAAGTATTTATAATAGCGATAGCACCTTAAGAAGAGTTTAAATCAATGTAAAGCGAATTTTCCAAATTTTCAGTTTCTGTTTTAGAATGTAGGTATATATATATATTTAAAGCACATTTAGATCAAACGTCATTAAAATCTGTAGATTCTCCTTTTTTAAATAATATTTGTTCTCAATTTGTCTGCGCTTAAGTTCCCTTTTAGGACCCGCCTCTGCATAATCCGTGCAGCCCTTGGACGAGCACGAGCACAAGTATGACATGTGTTCAAGGCGGGCGCTGGGGAGGCGAGGGAGTGGGTAGGTTGGTTGGTTGAAGAGGTCGCTTTCCAACTGTAAGTGGATTTTAGTTTTCTCTCTCATTTTGGTTTACCCACCTTCTTTTTTCATTCTTTTTCACCTGCCTCTGGACCGTGCTCGAGTGCCAATTGGCAGCTGTTTGTCGAGTGCTTTGATTGATGCTGGCTTGGGCTATACTTTTGGTAAAACTTATGCACTAAACTGTTTGTGGAATATACATAGATATATTTATCGTTAGCTTGTATTTGTTTGTGTGACTTCTTCTTGTCAAAAATTAAGGTAAATTTTCCAAAATAAATAAACTAAGCAGAAAAATCGCACGCATCAAAATATATATATATATATATGTGTGTATATTCATAATACAGTACATTTATATATATGTATATATAATTATTATAAGTACACACAATTATTAACAACAATTATCTAAAAAATTCCCACTACATAATAATTTATAATAATTTAAATTTCACATTTAATTTCTTTTTTTTTTTTTTTTTTTTTTTTTGTTTTATTGGTTTTTTGCAATAATTTGTTGAGTGTCCTTACTCTTAGCTAAGTTGTAATTAAGTCAAAATTAAATTATTTTCATTTTAGTTTAATATATAAATAAATATGCAATATATAGGAAATAGAAAATATAAATATTACGAGTACTTTGGCTACCCGAAAATTATTTCATTATTTTTAAAATCGATGTACTGAACTTTTTTATTTATTAAATATTTGTTGTATATTTTTCTGGCTGGTTTCGAGTTGCTTTTTCAAAAGTAATTTTTTTCAAGGTATTTAATATTTAATTTGTTTTTATTTAAAAATTTCCTTAAGAGGTTTTGCTTTACGAATACACATACATAATAATTTTGTTTGCTTTGTATTTTGGAGCTCTTGTTTTTAGGAAATAGACTTTCAAAAGCTTAACATGCATAAACATTTAATTAATTTGAAACATTTAGTTTGAATTAGCTTTTATATTTGTTTAATTATTTGCTTTTGTTTTGTAGATTTGCGCTTCATCAATTTGTTCTCAGGTTCGTTTCCTTTTTATTATTTTAATTTTAATTTTATAATTTGCATTTGGGAGGTTATGTCCTCGAGCTGCGCCTAGTTTGCGGGCAGTTTTATAAAGTAATCAAATTTGTTCATTGGCTTGCGGCCAAAAATACTCGCCCCATTTGCATTAGTTTACCCAAATTGGTAACAAAAATATATGTATATGTGTTGCGTTAGCTAGTTGGCCCAATTTACTGCTCGTCTTCGGGCGAGATTTTGGCCAGGGTTAAAAGTATCATGGTGAGCTCCTTGCGCGAAACTTTGCCGTGCTTATCGCGGCCGACGCCACGCATGATTGTCTCCTCAAAGGCAGCCAGATCCTGGGCATCATAGTCGTCCTGTATGCACAATATATGTAGTATATATAAATATATCGCTATCAATCTATAAGGAATGCCTAGCAGTTGTCTACACTTACCTTCTTGACCAGCTCGAGGAGATCCTTGAGAAAACCTTTCAGCTCCTCATTCTCAATGGTGCCGCTGTTGTCCTGTTTTCAAATAATAATATAATAATCCAATGCTATATAATATATATTATATATATTTGTGCTTACGCGATCGTATAGCGAAAATACTTTCTCAATATCCTCCTTGGTTAGCTTGGTGGCGCCCTGTTTTATGAGCAATTGAAAAGAAAGAGCATACGAAAAACGCATTGAAATAACTGAGAGTCCTGATTCTACATCAAATATATATAAATATTAATACACACACACTTTAGTCTTTGCGGGATATTTGTTTTTCAATGTCAACTGGCACATGGTTTTTGGGCCTCTAGTCTACATGTTTGTGATGTGTGCGCGTGTGTGTGTGTATATATGTCTGTTATGTGTTAACTATGAGTGTGTGTGTGGGCTCGTGTACTTGTTTATGTTATATTTATTTACTGTTCATGCAAAATCATTTATTCTCATGCTTTCAACTTTTTTATTATGCAATCCATGCCAGGCCCGTGTTTGTCTATGGAAATTCAAACCACACTCGCACACCCTCAAACGCATTTACACACATACTTACACACACACACACGTACATACATGTATGTGACCTGCATGCAAATCAATTTTCATTTACATTTTGCCATTCATGTTTGCATTCACTCAATCTCTTCATTCATATTACAGCCAATTTGTGCACAATTATTTGCACATTCCGGCGCACAAAAAACCCTAAAACAAAGCCCTGAGGGCAACCAAATGGAATGAGCTCCTTAGACACAGCTGCGTCGAAAAATGTTTGCATTACTTTTTTTTATATTACAATTAGAGATGGGTGCTTATTCGATATATCAAGATATACTTGAGTTAGTGAATCATGATATATCCTTCATTTCATGAAGCTGCATGGAGCCTGGCTGATTTGATGTTGATCAATACTAGATGCCAGCGAATGCTTGATATCAAATTTGATTCCATTCATCATCTAAAGCTCTTTTCAAATGTTTATGATTTCCATATTACTAACTATTTTTCTAGTTACTCTGCCATGTGTTTTTAGCCATTTTTTCGATTTAAAAAGTTTCGAAAATTCTTATTTTTTAACGCATTCTCCTCACGCACTTTTCTTCAATGATTCACGCACACATCTCTAGTGCGTTAGACAAACGTTTATATAGCCAGAGATTGCATACTTATGCGCATTATAACGAATGACTTAATTAAGCCGCGTCGTATTCGTATTTGTACTTGACTTTCCTCTGTCGACTCGTACATCTCGACTCTGCTCTCTCGGCTTCTCCCTTCCGTGGCTGCATTGCCCTTCCTACCTGAACGTTTTGGCAATTTGGTTTATGCGCTTGACATTAGGTAATTAATATGCATTAAGGTAAATTGCTAAATTTCTGTGGCATGCCATACCCTGTACCCACGGCATGGCAATGAAAATGGGTATATTAAATATGGGTACATATGTATTCAAAATGCGAGAGGAAATAATCGAGTCTTCTTTGAGTATAAATAGAAGGAAAAGAAATTGAGGAATCACAACTTTAGGTATTTATTATATATGTATTAAGCTTATAACTTTTTTATTGATATATATTTCGATGTATATATGAGCTACATATACAAGAATATATTCCTGATACTCGAATATTTCATTTCACTTATTTACTTATATCTGACTACTACATAAAACTCTCTACAGGGTATAGTCCATATTTATTCTCAATCGCTATGGGACTAGAGTAATGTAGCATACATTTCAGCGCTTACATTTGCAGCTTTCGCATGTGTGTCCGTGTGTGTGTGTGTGAGTGTGTTTATGTAGAGATAGAGATGTATGTGTTGTACGTTACAAGCGCCAGTTAGATTTATTGATTCCACTTCCTGTCCAACACACCCACACACACACACACACAGAGGAGAACATACATGCCTGCACCTTGTTTTTGGCTGCTTGTGGTTATGCAAGCAGGACAGGAAAGGACATGCAGGTGCGCAAGGGATTGGCCAAGGTTCGAGGTTTTACACCTGGCACCTAGCTTCGAGCTATCAACCATTCAAGTTCAAAGCCGCTGCAGGTGTTTCATGGCCCAAAACCAAACCGGAAACGGCTCAAATTTCGCTAGGCAGCAATTTGTATTATATGTGTGTGTGTGTGTGTGTTGAAAATGTTTGTGGGTTTGTGGTTCCCCTGAGGACTGATAACATTAATTTTGTTTGGACTTGTAAGCTGTTTTATAAACGACGCGTACGACAAAACGCAGTTACTTCTTCTGTCCCATATACCCTTTACTCAGTCAAGAAGTGTATATTGGGTTGGTGACATTTCATTCACCTCTAAATAGATTGTATATCTCGTATGAAATTGGTGGCTTATCTTTCATTTAGACTATTTTCTATTTTGTTTTTCTTCTTTCGAAGAGCAACTGAAATTAGTAAGATATTGGCGTCATACTCAGTTTAATCTCTTTAAATTGACTTGCCTCGCAAATGATATTTAAGTTATTGCAGACTATTTGTGATAGTATTTAGGACATATATCTCACTGAGTAACTATCAGTCGAGCAGACTTATCGAGAACCTATCGAATCGGTTATTTTGTGCGTACGTGTGTATGTTTTGGGGATTGGAAATCCATTAGTCGTCTGCCCTGGCAGCCGTTTTATCACATTGTTCTTAGCGTTATAGTATGTGTGTGTGTGGGCTTTAAAAAATACGAAAAATAAAGATGGGCTTAATGTTGAGCCTTGGTGTTTAATTTGTGCGCCAACACTTTTTCACACACCAAATTGTATGGAATTTATGCGGACGGTTGCCTGAAAGGATGCTTTGCATTTTGTCAGCGCTTGCCTCTGACAAATTGCGAAGCCTACAAAAGCCGTCACGTTCGCACAGCTCTGATAGGATGAAGTAATTATTTTATACTTCAACACTTTTGTAAACCATTGCCAGTTACGGACTTGGCGATGGCGGCGGATGTCTGCGGCTGCCATTATCCATATGGACAGCATCGGAAGGCATTCACACACACACACACACACACACACACACACAGACAGTAGCATAAACACACTCATCCTCGTTTACTGTCCTCTAAATTATGCAAAGGGTCACAGCTCAGGGTTGTATTTGGACCTTCATTAGATTTAAGCTGCGCACGTACATGCACTTATCGCCCATCTCCGGCAAGGTGGCTGTGCGTGTGTGTGTGTGTGTGTGTGTGTATCTAATTAGTATAGCACATAGTTCTCGTTTACTTATTGGATTGCTCGCAGCTCGAGCCCATTGAGGTTAGCTTAAATATTTGTTAAGTTCTGTGTGCTCCTATTTAAGCACTTGACTCTTTAGCAAAGTAATTAAGCCCAATTTACGGACCAGGTTGGCGAAGCTATTCTTACAAAATTTTAAATTTAGTTTAAAGATGTTTAAAAATTTATTAAATATACAAAATGAATTGTTGTAAAATATTTATTTTTATTTCATATTAGCTAGTAAAATTAAAATGTTCTCTACGAATTCGATGAGTTTAGTTTATACAGGTTTTATACCAATTTATATACATCGATTTTAGATGTTGAAAAAAAATCAATTCAAGTTGCTTTCCTTACAAGTTGATAGTCTTCTGCTTCAGCAAGCTGAGCTAATCAAGCTCTGCGTTTAGTTCTTTGAGCTATCAAACAGACCACAAGCATCTCGAGATGTTCACTTGCACACACATACACAGTCACATGCAGCGAACCTCGCTCACCTACACACTTTTCTCACACCCACTCTGTTGCGCAGTTTATTTGCCAAACATGCCAAAAAAGAATTATCAAAAATAGAAAAAGCGGTTCGAGGAAAGCAAAGCAAACACACAGCAGACCAGCATGCATATAAAAGCTAAATGTAGTATAGTTGTAGTTGGTGTACTATGTATTTATAGAGATCTATATATAACATTGTACCTATACAAAATGTGTATAGAAATACATAGTAAACTAGAGTTAAAGGGTATGCAGTTAGTTTTCCATAGTTACATCAACAAAAGATAAATCAGTCGCAAAAACAAAATATGCTAAAGTCATTGGGAATTGTATTTGTTTTTTTTTTTTTTTTTTTTTTTTTATGAACAAAACAAATTGAATTCCAAAATATCTTTTGATAAAGACTAAAAGCTTGGGTCGATCAAGTGGGCGGTATTTTATATTGGAAATGTAAATTTCCTTTTGTTCATGGCTAAATAAATACAAGTAGTGTGTATGTATTTATTTTTATTTTTATTTTTTTTTTGTGTTGAATACTCTTGCAAACAACTCTATAATTTGATTGCTTGAAAATCCGATATAGATTTTGATGCTTTGAATTACTTAAGTTTTATTGGTAACTAATTGGTAATGTCATTAATTATTCATTGAATTGATTTGTCAAGTTAAATGCATTTAAAGAAATCAATGAATTATTGAACTATTTTGTATTAAGAGTCTCATTCGAGTGGATGGAAATAATGATAATACTAAAAATATTCAAAATGGGTTTGAAAATGTTAGTAATATTTTTCAACAATAGAAAGAATAATATGAAAAATAAATTATGAAATAAATGATATAATAATAATACTGTCGACGTTAATGGCCATGATAAAATATCTTTTTCTTAGCTAAGGTAAAAAGTAGTGTAATAATGAAAATGAATGAAAATTTATAAAAACTATTATAAATAATATAATGATAATAAAATATTAATTAATTAAAATGATATTGATGGTATGCAACAAATTCCAATGAAAAGTAAAGCGCTCACACAAGAATTAAAACTAAGCTAAAATATAGATTATTAATACACATTACGGTATTAGGTATATTTTAGGTTTGTATTCTTCTTGAATGTGCAAAAAGTTAAGAAACAAAATATTGATGAACTATTTTATCGAATTCAGGTTATATAGACTTGCTTTGCGTTAAACCAGCTTGAATATGGGATTACATTTAAGTTGAGGCAAGTTCATATAATCTTGAGTCATAAAGCTTAAATTAATTAAATGAATTTAATATATGAAGAGATGAGAGGCTGGCTTGCACATGAACTAAGCAAATAGGCCAAATAGACTTGCATCAAACGCATCCACATTTATGTAAGCTATCGGCCTGAGAATATAGAGTATACAATTTTATAGATCAATATTTTTCTCTGCTATCTGCAAGAGTATTCAATGCTTGGCTTGGCCCAAGCCAATTTTGTTGCTTTATATGTTTACGGGTGTTCACTGTTGTTTGCTGTTGGTGGCTGTATTTTTTTGTTTTTGTTTTTGTTTTGTATTCCATTTGGTTGGGTAACAACGCTAAGTTTTTCGCTTTAGTTCGGCGTGGATGGTAAATACTTACATCGATGCCCTCCTGGAATACGAGTACATGTGTTTTTTGTTTAGTTGTTGTTGTAGTAGTAGTAGTTGTTGTTGTAGGCAGTGCATATTGATTGTTGTAGTAGTTGATGTTGTTGTAGTTGATGTCGATTTTATATACAGCATTTATTTTTATTTATTGTAAAATTGATTGATTTTTTTTTTTAATATTTATTTTTTTATTGTTTTGCAGCCATTTTAGTGTCGAGTTTTTAATCGATTTAGTTTTAGTTTTTGATTTTGTTTTTTGATTTGTTCATATTGCGAAAAGTGGAAAAGTAACATTTGTTGCAGCCAAAATTTACATCACGTGCAGAGTATTTGAATATTTTTGTAGTTTTGATTGTCGTTTACAAAGGTTTTGTTGATTATAAAAATGTACAAGTGTTGATTGTTGTAGATATATATAGAGTTATATAAATATATTTATATGTAGAGTTCATAGGTAGAAATATATGCATAGAGGTAAAAGGTAAATATATAGATACAGTTTGTTGGTTTTTTAGGTAGTTGCAGTAGTTGGTTTAGGCATAGATAGTTGCAATATAGAAGGGGTTAGGCGGGGAATGGAAAAAAGAAAGTCAGAAAAATAGTTGATAAAGTTCTGCTTTTGTTTTGTATTTGTAAATTAAAAATTATATTAGCTAGAAATATATGCGCACTAGAGCTAAATAATTGCATAAGAATTGTAATTGAAATAACTTTATTTGGCTGCTGGTGCGCAGATTGTTCAAATTGCAATTAGTTAAGTCTAAGAATGTTGGTTAGTAAGCTAAGATACCAGCTAGAATGCAGCAAACTAAAATTATATAAGATATTAAGTATACGTCTAGTTAATCATCAGGCAAGACCAATTCAAGTTAAGGCAATGGTTTTTAGTTGCTGTTATCTTATTTTATTTACTGCTGCTTAAAGGTGCAAAGAGTTTCAAAAAATAAAGATAATTCCTTTTTATTTTGTTTTTAACAAACCAAAAAATACTTAAAATTGTCCGTGTCTGTCTGAGGGGCTGACGGCTGGCTCGTTTTTATCTGCTCACGTAAGCTGACTGCAGTTAATGGCACCGCAGAGAGCGTAAACAAAAATATGCACCTTAGTGCTGGGCCCGGAAAAGTTAAGTGAAAAAGCCAAGCCAAACCACCGAAACGGCCAGCAAAGGCCTGATCCCTGATCCCAGCACCAAACACCACCCACCACCGACCCACTACCAGCCACAATGCAATTACAACAAATTTGGGCAGCCGCATTTGAACCGAAAGTTTATCCACAGCAGCGCATTTTGAAGTTGCAGTAGCTGCTGAGGCCGCAGCAGCCGCAGTAGCTCTTGTGCATTATTTGCGACACACGCGTCGTATACGTGATGTGCATTAGCATAAGCCGTTCCGGCACATTGGCATAGCGCCAAGTCGGTTGCCGGCTGCCGCCTGCCCCTGAAAAATGCCGTGTCAAGCGGATGCCTTTAAACACTATGCAGCAGCAATTTAGTTTTAATGCCGCACAACCATAAAATGCTTAAATAGCATTACATAAAACTGTGCAAATTTATGTTGAAAGGCGAATTTCGTGGAATTTAGCTAAAACTAAATAGTTTGCAATTGAGCGGCGAGCGAGCTTATCAAATGTGTTTGCGAGCGCATGAAATTGCATTAGCATTTTGAATTATTTTCAACGATGTACTGCAAAGCCACAGATTTGTGCATATTATTTTGATACGCCCTTCTATAAAAACAAACATTTCACTTGTCGAGAGGAGAAGCTTACAGTGAAAAATGCCGCCTGTGTAAAAATTCCAGCTAAAGAATTTGTGAGAATTTTGAGGTGAATTCTATGAATTTTAAACATGAGTTAAATAAACTGAAAGAAAATGCGAAATACACATACTTTAAAAAATTTAAAGCATATTTATTTTATTTAATATACTTGAATTTTAAAGATTTTTAAATATGAGATAAAATACTAAATAAATTTTATAAAATATTTACATATTCGTTTTAAATATGAATTGAATCAACGAACAGGAATTGCTAGAAAAATATTTAAAAATATTTATTGCACATTCATTTATTTAATATTCAAAATCTCAGTCGGTCTCAATTCAAAAAAAAAAAAAAAAAAAAAAAAAAACATTTTTAATGTTATTCCAGACTTGTGAGCTTTCTTGTTATACGAAAAGGATCCTTTAAATGCTTTATAAATGTTATATGTATATACTTTTATATCACATAGGGTCTCTCTTTGGGCTGGGCTTGAACTTGCGCCCACTATAGCAGTTTTGGCTAATGACAATGTCCACTTAGACAGCTCTGTTAGCAGGCTAATTTTCTGCTTACATTCCATATATTGTCCCGCCCCTTCGCTTTTGCTATGCAGTGTAATTGAGGCTGGCAATTACCTGGCTGGCATTTTACCTGGCTGTTGCAGTCAACATGCCGTAACTCATAAGTCTTGCGGCTGCCACTTGCTGGCTGTAAAAATGTTGATGCATGCTTATATTTTCATTTTTACTTTTATTGCGCAATGGAATGGGCGCCGGCACAGCTTTCCGTCAGACTTGATGCGCATTATGTTATGGCCAAATGGGCTGGAAATGCCAATTTAATGGCTGCTTAAGCTTGCAGCGTTTTATTGCGCGCCCTGCTGCAACAAAGTCGCTAGAGTCCAGGTGAATGCTTATCTCGCAGCTGCAGGTGCCTCGCGGCTTCATCTAAATTATGATTTAACGACAGCTGCATATGGCCAGCCAATGTGCATTATAATTGGAGTAGAGAAGCTGGCGCTTTAAGCATCTGCTGCCGTATCAACGGCTGCCACATCAACGGCTTGCTGCTTGCCACATGTTACGTTACTGTCTCCTACATGCATCGGGCGTGGCACCAACAGACAAGGGAGTTGCCAATAAAAGCCAAATAAAATGTCGGCGTGCACTCAGCTATAACAATGGGCAATGGCTGACTTTCGGTTGGTGTCTGGTGGCGAACTGTAAATGTGGCTCGCGTTGGCCATGCTTGTGCACATCACGCATTCGCCGCGTTGCACAGCATTTGCAATACCATTGGCTTTGGCTAGAGCCAGACTATGCAAATCGAACAAAGCCAACATTGTAAACTGAAGCGATCAGCTCTGCTATCAGTTGTCGCTAAAACCACTTGTCAAGTGCGGTTAGTGTGGTTTAATTAAAATTGCGCATACGCCATGTGACACCAAATGTTGCTGCACTCTTCAGAGAGCGCATAGACAGTTTAAGTTTTCAGCCAAAATACGATATCTACACGATATATTTGTATGGGTGTGCATCACGTACATTTGCTGCAAATAACAATAAGCTGGCAACTGTCGCATTGCAATGCTTCGCTGCTCCTTGTCGAAGTCAGTTGATTAACAACAATAGCGCAATCCGGAAGGGAAAAGCCAATGCCAAGCCATGAAGCTGACCACGGACAGGGTTGGACATCTGCTGGCGTTACATGCGCCAAAAGTAGCTGTAATAGCAAAGAGTTTGCTCAAGGAATGCTGCTGGGCATAGACACACACACATGCACGCACACACGCACACAGAGTTCCGACCTAATCCATATGTTAGGGTTTGTCAGGAGATTGAATTTGTGCCGTAGTTGAGCTATGTGAGCTAAGCAAACACAGGAAACTTAACTTGGTGTAGCTGGAAAGCTTAGCTCATGAAAGTCAATAGCAAAGGAAATTACTTCAGGTTTGTTATTGAATAATATTTAAATATCTAGCAAGAACCTACATGTAGATACTAGGAGGAGTAAAGTAAGGAAAACATATAAAATTACTCAATATTTAAATTCATTTTATATTCTCTTTTAAATTCTTTAAATTGATTTTTTAAATGTTATTTTTTTTTTTTTTTTATTAAACTTTGAGGTTTTAAGGCCTTTAAATTAAGACTATTCTTTTTATAAAAAATAATAAAAATAATAAATTGGTTTATACGATTTAAATTAGAATTTACAAATGACATACAGGCGAATATTTAATTTTATGAGTTTTGGTAATTGCATTATTATTTTATTTACATTGAGCCAATCTCCTATCAATGGCTTTGTTTGTACTCATACTTGAACAGTGCAAAGGGTTGGTATTACGTTGAGTTAGGAACAGAGCCTCCACACTTGCTCAGTGCGCGCAATCAGTTCAATAAGTTGATCCCAAACTCGAGTGCATTTCAGTCTTGACTACCCCTTGTGCATGCCTTTTGTTCGGCCTCAAATCCTGCTGAGCATGCTGAAAGGCCACGTGATGTGAAACGAACAGAAAATATTCTGGCAAATATTGCAGTCAAAGTTAGGAGCAGCGTGTATGGTCGTGGCAAAGTTATGGCCAACTTGGTTTTGCTATGTGGCCTGGTGACCAATTACGTTCCGGCCAGCATCCAAGAATCAGTCAGTTAGTCAGTCGGTTAGTCAGTCAGTCGGTCAGTCAGTCTGCCAGCTGCTCGAGTCGGCTACAACAATGGCCCACAAGAGAGCGCGGCCAAGTGGACTGAAGTCGAGCCGAATTGTGCGCTCCATTTAACCCCCAATGGGCGCATTTTGAGCAGACGCTGCGCTTAAATATTAAATGCTGAATAAATTCTGAAATGTGACCAACAAAAATTCGCACCCGTTCCCTAGCTCAAGCTCTGTATCGACAGCAATGTCACTTAATGTCCCGCAATTGTGCTGCCAGGTGACAGGTGTTCTGTGTTTAATTACAAAGTCAAAAGTTTTGGTCGAGCCCGATTGTATTTATAATCAGCAGAAACTGATTTCTTTGCCTATTTGCCACAGGAAAAATCACGAAAGTCGGCTTTTTATTGCTCGCCCATTGAAGCGGCAGACAAAAGCAGCTGACGCAAGATAAATATATATTTAAGGGATGACAATCGGGTTCTCTGGGCTGTACTGGAATTGTTTTCAGCCTACCAAAGGGGGAATACTTCACTCTCCTCCCACTGAAAGAGGGAAGTCAAGAGTAAAACGAACAAACAGCGCACACAGGTGTTTGATTTTGCTGTCTCCTGTGTTCTTTGACATCACGCATACGCCGTGGTGTACGCCTTATTAATATACTCTGTTCAGAGAGTGAAAACGAGTATAATGAGCGAGCATTCTCAAAGTGATTGTATATTTATTGTTATGAAGTCTTAAGTCTTGCTGAAGTCTTAATGTTTCATGGAGATACTGTAAGATATACATACATATAGATATTATATTTGTATATATATATATTTATATATAGAAATACATGTGTAAATGTATAATATATAATATTTATAGTGTATATATAGAATTACTATCTTTTCATAGATTACAACTTCAAAGCTATGGGCTCAAACAGAGCTTTAAGCTTTACTGATTAATGACCAATACATAAATATCACGTATACACCACGATGGTTGTCTCAATAGATTGTGCTTAGATAGTGCAGCTGAGGGCAGTAAATTTTGTATATATGCTGGTACATATCCATAAAAATTGTAGCCCATAAAGTTTTTGAGAAGTACAATAATCATGAGATCTCCAATCAAAGTATAACTGTAAATTTAGTACTTCGATTATGAAGTTAATATAACGTATACGTCATGCTGGCTGCTTTGTTTATTTTTTTTAAAATAATTTAGAAACAACAAATTTCATTTCATTTCATTATGAACAAAAAACCCCTGGTTATTCGTAAGCTAGGCATATAAACCGCAATTCTTAGTCGTTCAGCTATTATCTTAGCTATTGCTGTGTTGCCTCTACAGTTACTGAGTCACCTGATTTATTTATAGTCAAGGCATTTCTATTGGCCCCAGCTGAAGCATTGAACAGTCGGTTACAGCCGTTGGCAACGGCAGCTGCTGCTCCCTGATTCATTGTTTTTTGCTGCGCAATGCAATTTCATAGCGTTTGTGCGCTTCGCTGGCTTTTTATTTTACGTTTATAGAGCAAAACGTGGCTGATAGGTCTTTGAGCAGACACAGACAGTAAAATGAAAATAAATAAAAATAAATAAGAGACAAGGTAATAAAATCATACGCATTGCGCTTGCATAGATAATTGGCTTGATGTTTAGTCCAGGCGGCAGCTAGTTAATAACTAAAGCTAAAGCTAAAGCTAAATTTAACCTATGTGCTAGTGTAAAATATAGTCACAAATATATGTAGTTTGAGTTCTTGGTCAGCCTCAGCTGACTGGCTAGCGAAACGTAATTTCCTCGTCTCAATGTCTATCATAATACTTGGCACTTACCTTGAATACCTGACGGCAAAGGAAGTTCTCTTTAACCGGAAGTAGTCTGTAATAAATAAGTTCGGCATTTTTGTCATTGACAAGCACTGCGGCATTGCTCTACTTACTTGGCCATTTCCGAGAGCTGCAAACGACCATCCTTATTGGCATCGAACACTTGAAGCTGTTTTGTGTGAGAGAGAAAGGCAGAAGGGGAGAAGGCAAACATAATGAGCTCAATGACAGAACTTTTATACCTAATTAATGATACATAAATTGGTTGTGTCTCTGGAGGCCACGTATACCAGCCCCAAGAATAAACACATTCTCGTAAATCGACTTAAGTAAGTTGCAAAATGCTCTCTTCGCATGATTCTGTTTGCCCTAAGTGCAAGTCGTGCTAAATTTTAGCCGGCATATATACAAATATATATATTTCGCAATTCGTTTCTCGGAAAATCGAAATAAATTTTTCATGGTCGATTCGTTAGGCGGAGCACTCTCGAGGGTTTTGCTCTTAAAGTTTATGTTATTCATTTATTGTTTCTTTTCTTTTGTTTTTGTATGTGTTTATTGATTGTCTGCTTAAATTGAACAACTAAATTAGTTAAGCTAATGTTAATATTTTATTACTTGAGAAAGGCTCTGGCAAATTTAATCAATTCTTCATTTCAACTGTTTTGAATTGTCTAAATACAAAAAAAAAGAGTCTGACATCAATTTGGATTTCAAATGTGTATTAAAATAGGCTTGAAAACTCAAATTCCACTGATAAAATACATTTCTCGCAGCTTTTATGGCTTTGTAGATAATGCAATAAAGTTTTGTTTTAAACGATGTCATATTTAATTTTATTGCTGGCCCATCTTATATAGAAACAATTTGTTGCTGAATTTTCTCAACTGCATTTAATCTTTGACAACTTTTCGCTTCTATCTTCAGCGCTGGCAATTTAACTTGCAAATGAGTTGCGAGTTTCGCCAGCGTGCTACATTTTTATCATCATTTATTGTGATACGTGCACCGAAAATAATGTCTAGAACGGAGGAGTCTATGAACCAGGCACAACTTATCACAAGCAAGCCCGAAGAAGACGAAGAAGAAGAGAGTGTGATGCGGCTGCCTTAGGAGTTGCAGACACAACAAACTGTGTGGCACACACACACACACATATATATGTATATATACATCTGCTTGGTGTTTTTCCATTATAAAGTTTTTAATTAACATCACTTTGAGTGCATATAAATTGCGGCGCAGATTCGCATAATTCTCGCCACGCCAGAAATTAATTGCCGTATTTTACGCTTGACTTGGCAAACAAAGTGTTGAGGACAACATTGACATTGAGTGGTCAGTGATTTTTGCTAGCATGACACTTGGTTATAATGAACTATGATTTATCTAGCTAAATATTATGTATACGCACCATGGTGTCTGTGTATTCAATGAGCTTATCCTCGGAGACATCATTGATCTTTTTGGCCTCTTTGAGCAAGTCACGTAAGAAATTCTTTAGTTCATCCGCCTCAATGTACCCAGAATTATCAGTGTCGTATTCACGCCAGATCTAATCGACCAAATAGCATCGTGAGAAAAATTAATTAGAGGGAAATATTCGGGGACAGCCTTGGCTTTCCTCTCGGTCCGCTTGGCCAGTCCTCTAGGAGGAGCCGAGCCATGGGGGCTGCCCCTTGTTTAACGCCTCGTTGACCAGCACTTACCTTCATGAATTCGACGCTTGATTCCAAGGGGTTATCGAAGCGGAAGAGCAAAAGGAAATTTTCTTCCATGGGCAAAAGTTGGGCAAGCTGTAAATACATTAATTTTCGAAAGAAAAAGGAAGAGATATGTGTTAAGCGAAAATACTTTAGTGCAGGCACTTGAACTTGAACTAACTTTAAGCATAATTTTCGCTTCAAGCATGTACTGAATGTGAGAAGTGTGAGCAATGCAAGCAATTGGAGTAAGTTTGAGAAAGTAAATTTTTGTAGAGAAAGAAAGTGTAATAAAAACAATTACGCACTCATAACAAAACTACGCTGTTGAAAAAGTGGGCAAATATTAGAGATGAGAATAAAAATCGTGGCATTAAACATGACTCAAAAGAGTTAGTGGACTAGGAGGATAAATATCACACAGTATCAAACGAATTTTTGAAATTCATATCACTTTCCATCAAATTATTATTTATCAGTGCAAGTTAATGCTGTGTTGGGAGAATTTAATCAAGATTAAAGCTGATTCCTCTTCAACATAGGAAACCTAGTTGCCCTTCGAGTCTAAAGTATACATTAAAGCAAACTTGCTGCTCTATCACTGCAACTAATCGATAAAACTAACAGAAATTCAAGTAAATCGCCTTTCACAATACGGGAATCAACATTTTGCAGCTGAAATCTTAAGCCGCTTGTATGAATGGCTGGGGCGGAGAACGGGCGGCTGCTCGCCGGAGTTTGTGCTTCAATTTCACTGAAAATATTTTGCCTAACTAAGCCCGAAGGCTGTAATTTCTTTCCCCGTGGCAGACGAATTGCAACTCAAAACTTTTGCTGCATAGTTAAAGTGTCGATTCGAATTTCAACCAAAACTGGCAACTAAATGCCGCGGCATGCAGAAAGTTGCTGCTTTTAATTTCATTAAACAACAATTTAGATATTTTTTGCCAGCACTTAAGTTAATTACACTTTGGCTGTGCTTAGGCAAATAGAACTGTAGCGAAACGAGAACCTTGAAAGCAGCAGACGAAAACTGAGGAAAATGTTCAATATGCCAAAATCTCAGATGTGCTACATGGCGTATGCGTAATACTTTTGTAAGGAAATGAATAAATGATGAATGATTCGGGTAGCTGAGTGCTTTTTGAAGTCACAAAGGGTTCGGACAAAACAATAATCAGAGATAACTAGAAACTGCTACCTGGCACAAACATTCTCTCATTTATCATGTGGGGCCAGGTGACAATGTAGGCAACAGTCGTTCCTCTCGTGTCTCTCGTTCATTCAATTTTTAAAGCCACTCGAAATACTATTGCTGTGTCGGCGGCTGTAAGCCTCAATTAAAAACTCATTTTAAGGAGGTAGCGGGAAAAACTTTTTCGTAGACCTTGGCGCAAAAGTTGGGGCCTTGGCAAATGGCGAAATGGCCAAATAAATTATTGAGCCACAGCAAATTGGCGCAGTCAGACAGCGACAAGGAAGAGCAAGAGCGAGTGCGGGGGTGAGAGTGCACAAATGTTACAGCATCATTTAAAAAGCAATTTCCAAAACGCAGCAGCAAATGTGGAGCAAGACTCTCCCTAGAGATGGACGACTGTTGCCAACATTTGGGCAATAAAACACGAAGCACGTGTGATCCAAGATGTTGAGGTAAAGATTTCAAGGCAAGAGGTAAACTAATATGGATTTATTATAAATACTAGTTAGATATATTTCTTTAATATAAATATTTTTGAAGGCTCTGAAATTGTTTATTGTAGTAATAAGTAAATTTTTAATCAGATTAGAATTGTTTTATTGTCTGTAGTCTTGTTTACTCATTTCGAGTCCCATTAGAACTGGCTTAAATTGGGCTGTTATCATATTAGTTCTTGTCCCTCTACATTCTACATCTACATTCATGTGTTGCTTTAGTTTGTGGGTTAACATGAGTCAGGTGGAGCTGTGTGTACTCGTGCTTAAGCTGATGTTGACCATCAATAGACAACATGCTGCAGAGTAATAGCAAAGCACGCGCAAATTGAAACTTCGACTGGGACACGCGCTCAGTGCTAAGCTCCGAAATAGATGTCATGGAAAGATATGCACGTACAGCAACATTGCGCAAACGACACGTGTGGGCGTGGCAGAGCGTAAAATAAGCGAAAGCAACGGCAGACAAAAAGAAAAGCAGCTTAAAATGTCGCTGGAAGTTCTAAAACAGCAAAGCTACAAACAAATATGCTTAGCAGCTGTGAGTGAGCTGAGCATAAAATGCATGTGTCTTACCTCTCGGATATCGATTTTGCCATCCTGATTATCATCGTAGGCCTCCATGAAGCAGGACTTCAGCTCCTCCAGCATTGTGTCGGTGACAGCCTGAATGAAGATGAGTGAAGAGGAGCGATAGAGCAGAAGAGAGGAATTTTGATGAGGTTTTGATAGCATAAATGGAGAAGTTCCTTTTGTCTCCTGCTTACCTCTGGACTTATGTCTGTCACATTGGCACTGGACACAAACTCACGCAGAAAGCCATCCAGCTCGGTGCCCTCAATATAGCCGTTGCCTGTAAAATAAGTAAAGTCGAGGCAGTCGAATAAAGAGCGATTTGTAAATACCCACCGTCCTTATCGTAGTGTGCCCACACATCCATGAACTGATTGGCTGATAGTTTCTTTAGCTCGCGCGATTCGGGATCGCGATATTGGCGCATAAAGTTGTGCGCCTTCTCGATTTGCACGCGCTTGGCGGCGGCGGCAGCTGCGGCAGAATCCATTTTACGTTATGGCTTATATATATATTTTCTCAATTTATATATATATATATATATTTATGTCTATAAATATATATATATATATACTAGATTTGAGTGTGTTGTTCGCTGCTGGCGTAATCTGCAAATAAAAGGAGCGCAGCAATTGGTGTTTTATATTTCAATTGAAATGCGATTTATTGGCAGTTACGTAAGGCAATCGAAATGCGCTCAACATGAAAAACTACTTTCAACTATCCCCTAGCCCGGCTCTATCTGTGGTGCACCAACCCTAAAGTATTTTCAATTAGCTGTTGTATATTTCAAAACATTCTGAGAGAAAAAATCTAAAAATTAAATCAATTAGTTTGACAGCCAGTTCATTATTGGCTTAGCGTGTAGACAGGGCGTGAGGCCTTGTGTGCATGTCCCTGTGGGTGGAGCTTTAAATTAATAGCATACAATACACACACACACATACAAAAATACGCCTGTGTACGTGCGTGCACAGACACGCACACACAAGCAGAAGCGCCCACATAAACACAGCTTTGAGCTGCCGCTGCGCTGACCACGGGACGTCCGTGCAACTATTTGAGAGCTTGGAAAAATTAAGAGAACGCACATTTTCATTTGCTCTGCAGACACTTGAACACACCCTTCCGATTTCTATATATTATAATTATATTTATTGTAATTATTATGTCTATTCTGAAATCTAATTGACTAAATAAAAGACTCATGTATATGCAACATTTTAATAATGTAGCTGTATTTATTTTTTATTTTTATATTTTTTTTAGATTTGCTAAATTTAAATTCATTAACAAAAGTCAAATTTTAATTATATGGGAAAAGTATTATGACAGAGTTATTTTCAACAATATTTGCTATTTGCTTGATAACACAATAAATAGTATTCGATTATATATGTATATACAGAAATAAATATATAAATACACATATAAATTAATGAATAAATTAAAAACCTTTTGTATCTTAACTACTTTTTAATTTATTTATATTTTAATTTATAGATGAAATGAATGAAAGAAAAACGTTGTATATAATAGTTACATATTAATTTTATTTTTTTTTTTAAATTTATAGATGGACTAATTAAAGAAATAAGATGAATATAGAACTATTAAATCGCGGAAATGATTAAGTATTTCAAATAAGTTTTGTAATTTTTCTGTTTCTCGCATATTTATTGGAAAAAGTAAAATGGAAAACTATTTTTAAAATATTTTTTATTTTAATAAAATACTCTTAATATGATAATTGTGATCATGTTGATAATCTATAAAATATACGGCCTTAGTTTTATGCGTATGTATTTTTGAATGTATAAAAATGTTTCAAACTTTTCTATACTTAAATAGAAAGTTGAACAACCCTCAAAAAATACTCTATAAAATGTTATTAAAAAAAGCGCAACTAACAGGATTAGAGCCAACACGCAACAAAGTTGTGTGCGTGAGTTTGAGTAAGTGTGTGTGTGCGTGTATGTGTGTGTGTGTGATAAGCTTCAACGAAATGTGGCATGTTCTCGCTGCCTCTTTCGCTTGCAACTCGCAGCTAGCTTCGTGCAGAGTAAAGCGCTGCAGGGTGAATCGCCTCAGTCCGACTGCCCTGACCCGACCCGACGCCCACGTCGGATCATATCAGCAACGAGCGCTGTGAGTTAAATATGTACTTATGTTTATAAGAAGGAGAATGCGATATAAATTGCTTTACAAAGCAAAATAACAAGCATAAATTACTGTGCTTTTGTTATTGTTGTTGTTGTCGGTTGTTGTTGTTGTTGCTGCTTGTCTGCTGTGCGGTAGCTGCGGGCGTTGAAACAAAGCAACGATTCGCAGCAACAACAAAAATATTGAAAAGAAAAAGAAAAACAAAAACAATTTGAGGATGAGACGACGGATGAGCTGCAGCTCCAGTCGCCGCCGCGCCAGGATGTGCACTAAGCGTTTGTCCTGCTCGGAAATTGCGGGAGGCATTTTGTCTGCTGGCTGCGGCTCCTGTGGCATATCCACTTTACGGCGGACACGGCCTGTGCGTCACGGACATGTAGCCACCCATTTTTTTTTAGTCTTTCGCACAGCTGCCGCTAAATGAGTTGGGCAACCTATCACAATCAATGCGGGCTCATGGGGGCAACTTGTTGCCGTTGTTGTTGTTGTTTTTCTGTTGCTTTTGTGCAGTTTTGTAAAGTATTCTAATTATGTCATACATTTTGTAACTCCTAGCGTTTGTATACAATATACAATATTTTAAATTGAATGCAAGAAGCAGAATTTTCGATTCAAACGATATTCAATAATATATGACAGTAGAAATAGAGGTAATTTTTACGAAAACTTATTTATTTAAAAACTGACGAGACTAATTTTCTTTTCGTTATATTTTATGTTATGATTAAATTAATCCATCTACATTAAGTTTTAGATGAAACAAATATAAAAATTTATGAGGCACATCAATCTAATATGAGATGCACTATACTCTGCGCCTTAAATACGTAGATAATCTTATGTACAAGTTTTGCTTGTATATCAAATCAAATAAATAAAATATGACTGTTAGGGTATTTAAAATTTGATGTTGCTTATGCTTTCTCTCTCTCTATAACCAGCATTACCGTCTGAATGTTGCAGAACTTTTCACATGAACAACATGAACAGCAAACTGCAGCAAAAATAACTACAAAAGGATCAACTACTGAACAGGACTTTGAGAAGTTGTACTACATTTAGTACCTGGCAGAACATACAAAGTGTGAACTTTGACTGGTAAACTAACACGTTTCACTGTGTAGCTGATTGCATTTACAGCAGCTGCAACAGTAACTGCAGCGCAACTGCAATTGCAATTGCAATCGCAAGGGCAATAGTAATAGCAAACGTTGCTTAAAGACTTAGCATCTAGAGTTGTGTGTTGACATTTTATGGCCAAAGGGAATTGCATTGAAAGCCAACATTCTGGGTCAGGCTCATTAGAAGGACCTTCGCATTGTTGGCGCGCCGTTTGTTATTACAAAACGCATAAAGGACTACAAATACGAGTTACATAGCCAGAAGCTATTGCAGTTTGTTGTTGTTGCTGATATTGCAGTTTTTGTTGTTGTTATTGTTGTTGTTGTTGTTGTTGTTGTTGTTGTTGTTCCTGTTCAGATTGTGCAATGGCATGTGAGGCAACAAATATATTTATACTTGTGCAGAATATGTGAAAAACTTTCGCTATGCATTTTGCTTTGGATGGCACTCGAAAAGGCCAGCTCTCATTGCATTTTTCAGTGCAAATTGCCGCATGCCTCATGCCGCATGCCATATGGCTGCTGCTGCTGCTCCTGCTGCTTCTTCTTCTTCTTCTGCTGCTGTTGCCAGCTGCACGCGCTGCTAATGTTTGCCAAGCGCATTCTAGCTGCGTACAAGTCCTGCTGCTCTCAACTGTATAAGTTATGGCCCAGATTAGTCCGCTGTGTGAACTCTCCCATATAACGTAATATAATTCATGCTGCTATTGCCGACAGCAGAACTCGGGCAATTTTCGAGTGCTCAAAAGAAATGCATAGCAAAGGGCATATATCAGATACAAAGTTCTATTCAGCTGAAAATGTAATTTAAGGCCAGTAATCAATGGAGAAATCTAAATGCATTTATTAAGAAACAAATGTATTCGAAAATTACTGAATGAGATGAAACCCTTTTGATTTTGCTGGTCAAGGAGTCAACTGGTCAGTATATACACTTAATATTTTAGAAAGATTAATATAAGGGAGCACTTGGTGAGGTGAACTATATAAAAATCAGATTCAGTTAGAAGGTTTTATACTTTTAAAATTTTGTTTAAAGCTGTTTTTATTTTAAATATAATGTATACACACTTTACAAGTTTAATTTAATTTAATTAATTTAATTTAAATGATATAACAATTTAGAAGTTTCAGGATTTAAGTTTTTTAATATGTATTAATCCACTTGATTTAAACTACTTAGCTTATTAACAACTTATGCACAATAGGGCAGCACAGTCTCTTAAATATAATTAGCTTTAATGTTGTGCGATTCCTTGCCTTCATTTTATTGGCATAATTAATCACAAGAGTGAATGACAAAAAATCAGCTCCAATGTCCTCACACGCACTTTGCTCATAAAATGGGTGTGCGAACGAAATACCAACATGAATAAGCATGCATAAATATTTACTACAAATATTAAGTATACGCGCGGCACATGAACAATTTGACATGCAAATAAACAAGCGATTTTGTTTGTGCTGAAAAATACTCAAACATTGAAAACAATTGAATGAATTTAATTCAACTTGTCGCACATTTTGCGAACTGTCAACGACAAACGAAAATAAACCAGAAACAAGCGCGAACAGCAACGCTCGGAAACGGAAATGGTGGAGCAGAAATAGTGTAAAAATTCGCCAAGCATACTTGAGGGCTTTCACGCTGGGCGCCGTAATGGGCGTTTCACATGACAGCAGCGAAAATACCTGCTGAAAGGTGGATACATTTTTGGTGTGGTGAAGTCGAGGTGGCTCAGCATTTTTGTATTGAAACTGACTCGAAGCAGGAATAATGTGAGCCGAACAGCTTATGAATGAATACTTGCATAAATATTTTCTGATTGAAGAATTTATAATAATTCGTAACTGAAATATTGTGACCTGAATTGATTTGAAAAGAGGGTTGAGCAAAAGTATTTAAAGTCTGAGAAAATCAAGAACAAATTTCCAAAGTGAAAAATATTGTAAAATATTTTTATCGATTTTATTTATTTATTTTTATATTGAATACATAAATGATATGTAAGAGATTTTTAATTTATTTAAATCAATACAATTATATAACAAGTAAAAAGACTCTAGTCGAGACTGCTCGACTAGGAGATACCCTGAACCCTCTAATCTGATATTCTAATCAGTCTGCACTTCTTTTCGACACACATACATACACACACACGTATTAGAATGCGCTCTGCTAACTGCGCTTGGGTTGCGCTGTAGTGTAGTAACATTATAAGAATTTATTTGTTGAATAATTTAATTTCTAGATGTACAATCTTAATGAAAGTTTCAGGGCGTAATTATATGGTGAAAATGTATGTACAATCCAAAGCACATGT